TTCCAATGTTTGTTGCCTCTGTAATAACTGTTGTGCTATTGCACTTTCTTGATCAGAATTCATCACCCCTGCCGCAGTACGACCCACCGCCTGTGGTTTGTTATGGGGCCGCCTCTGACAAGGAAATGACTGCAGTCGTTAATGGGATTCCTGAGGAATCACAGGAAATTCGAAATGGAAAATTGAGTACGAAAAGAAACTAGGGTTTTTGAAAGTTTTGAACCATGAGAATGTAATGAAAGGCTGTATAATTGTCTATGTGCTGAATGTATTAAAAAACGCAGATAATGAATAAAATGCCGAGAAGCCTTCCTTTTTTGATAACCAATTCCGGTAACTCAATCATACATGGATTTACATCGTATCGTAGTACAGATTGCATGTTCATAATAATCTTGTCAAAAAGAGTACTAAAATTCGGCACTTCTCTTTTATCCATTATTACTATACGTCACTGGAACCTTGATCCTCACTTGTGCTGGTTGTTCCGGAACTATCCGGATCCGATGAATCTTCGCTGTCACTACTGGAATCTTCCATAAAGGAGTTAAAGGCGAGCTGACCGGAGTAAAGAAGTAACCCTAGAGAATTGATGCCAAAAACAAATGTAGCAAGGTAACATATTCCATTGATGATTGTCCTGAGAGGAGTTGATGAAGAAGGCTATTTAGTCAAATATCAAGAAAGAAAAAAATTCTACACGGAAGTGTTACCAAAATTACCTTATGGTTATAGTAATCTGTCGAACCTGGAAAACGATGTACAAAAGTGCAGAGTGTTAGAATGCATAAAATCGAGCTATACAAAGTGCAGAGTAATGAATAACCACAAATATAAAGCTTGTTCTTCTCATATTAACCACAAATAGCCTCATCTTGTAGATAACAAAGCCATTAACGATAAAATTGGTTGTTGCACGATTTTCACATATTGTGTGAGTAGAACAAGGTGTAAAGATTGTAACTTGTGATGAATACGATAGTTAAACGAAACTAAAATATAAGAAACGCACTGAGTAGTTATCCGGAATTGTTTGGCGATTCAGAGAAGCTTCGACGGTGGTTGTAAATTTGTAGAGGATTAGTGCAATCACACCAGCTGAAAATGCACCAAGAAACGCCTGAAAAGGTGAAGTGGACGACTTGGAATTATCCGGCAATAAAGTCACCGATTTCAGGCTATCCATAGCTTCCTCAGTCAGCGATTTCTTTACCCCAGATGACCTAAATTTCTGGTTCAACAAAATTACCAGTTTATAAAGAATCTATATTAGAACTGTGTAAACATACATAGATGAGCTGAACACAACTACCAAAAGTATTGGATGGAATAACTAAAATAGATTCGTACAGAAACTCTGTTGGGACTTTTATCGAACATGTAGGGATCAACTACCGATATCGTGTAAGTGTTATCAATGCACCATTGTTACCAGAATAAAAAAGCAACAACAAAGAAAACCAAATGCGAAGATCATTGAAGGAGAAACACGAAATACGTAGGGCAGAATGTACCATTTCTTTGGCACGCTTAGCGCGGCGGCGGAGGGAGCGAAAGAGAAATAGGCCGACGGCACCGGTGAGGAGAACGCTGGTGGCAGTTTGGAGAGGCGTGGGGTCATCGTCAGTGGCGAAAATTGGCGGGATAGAAGGGAGCTCGACGGGGCCCTCCTCCGGCGGCGATTCATCTGTAATGGCGGCGGTGGTGAGTTCTTGAGATAGTTCGGCAATCCATGGTTTGTGGGCGGAGCAGCGGGAATACCAATTGGTGGGTGTCGAGGGAAAATTGATTGAACGGCGAAATGGAAATGGAGAGTGTGAGGGGAGGAGGAAGTTTGCGGAGGAGAAGGGGAGGAGCTGCCGTTGAGTTAGCAACATCTCTGGTGGAGCTTTTACAGAGGAGTGCAGCTGATGAAACAGAAAACTTGGGAGGAGAAAACCATATCAAGAAAAAGGTACAATCTCTACGGCACGTTGTACAACTCCTCGAATTTGGTCGCATAATAGGCCCCAACTAGCATAACTTTTAGGGTAAATTACACCTACACCCCTGAGTTATGCTAAAATAATTTTAAGGTCCTTGTAGTTAGAAACTCTAATGGGATAATGCATTGGATACGTTATTTCGATAGAGTTTTAAAGTACTGTTATTCAGTAAATGATCTAGATAACATAGAACTGGGGGCTGACCAGGGGCGACACAGTGGCTTTTAGTTGGGGGGCCAAAATATGGAGGTGAATAAAGAGAAGAAAAAAAATATTTTTTATGGACTAAAAGTATACAAATTTTAAATCTTGGGGAGCCAAAGTCTATAAATTAATAGATAAATATCAAAATGCAATAAAAAAAAGTAATAAAAAATAGGTGATAATTTTTTTTTCTGCAGGCTCCTAGGCCCCACGTGGTTCCGCCCCTGCGGTGACATGGCTCCCCCGACATTTCTTAAATCACTCTCTATCTCTATGTTGTCTCCACAAACTAACAGTTCGTTAGAATTCTATCGGAATAACGTATCCCATGCATTATCTCGTTAGAGTTTCTAACAATATTTCAATTAGAGGTGATTGTAATTACCGATATCATAGATACCTTAAAATTATTTTAGCATACTTCATGGATGTGAGTGTAATTTACCCTAACTTTTAATAATATATATCATTTAAATTACAAACAACAATCCTTGAGGTATATTTAATATAAAGAATTACAAAATAGAAAATACATTTTTATCTATATATTATATTATGTTCATAAAGAAAAATAAAATAAAAAAGTTCGAGGTGGCTAATAAGCTAATTAACAATTAAAAATGGGATCGAGCTTGTTAAAAAACTCGAGTTCAAGTTTGAGTTTTATCGAGACAGTTCAATCATATTCTTGAGTCGGCTTAACTCATTGCTCTTTGGTCAAAGTCTACGAATAAGGCCTGCGAATTTTACAGGCATCGAGTTTCAAATAATATAAAATCAAAAAAATATAATGAGTTACATTTCAAGCCTATAAACGCTTTCCGATAAAGTACTTAAATGCATGCCCGATAAACTTTATTTTTGGTTCTCGAGATACAAGATTAAACACAATTGTATTATTGGATCGTGTAAGCGAATAAACAATTTCCCAAACTTCTAATTAACATTTAATAAAGTTCAAATATTTTAGTTAATCGCTTGCTAATCTTACCAATCAAATGAAACAAAAATCTTATATATATATATATATATATATATTCTATTGAATTAAATTAAGAAACTATGCTTAGTTTAGCATCAAGATTCGTGGCGCACATTAGACGCCACAGCCCTGGCCCAAAACTTGATCTGCGCCTTGATCTCGTCCGTTGATCTCTTATTAGTTTTCTCTGCACTGCTACTTAAGCTCCTCTGTGTCTTAAGCTGATTCATCTTTTGGCTTTGAGGCCTTGTTAATGATCCATGCCTCGATATCTGTCAATTTATCCATAAATATTATTAATTTGTGTTTTACATTTACGGTCACCACTTGAGCAACACAATCTTAAATTACGAAAAAATCCATCGTGTTTGGTTAATTACAACCACCCCTCAACTATTAATCTTCTTCCACGTCCACTCTTGCGGTGTCAAATTTAATAGAATCTTCTAAATTATATGAAATATTCTTCAGTATGTACCCGTTTTACCATTTCGAGCTCCATATTTTGAAACAAGACGATCGTGCTCTTAGCTTATAAATATCAGATTATGGTGCATAAAAAACTGCGTTTTGCACAAAACGACTACAAACTAGAGAATATTTCACGAAATTTAGAAGATTATGTCGATTTTATCACCATAAAAGTGAAGTGTAAAAACATTCATATATAGTTGAAAAGTGGTTGTAATTAATCACCAAAACATGAAAGGATTTTATTGTAATACGGTGACCGTAATTTACCCTATATATATAATAAGAGAAAAGTTGAAATAAAAACTAGTACTAATAATATATAGTAATTGGTACCTTATAATTATTAGTTCTGTGAGGCATGATGATGTTGTTGTCTGAATTAGAAGTGTTGAGAGAAGCTTGCCTGATCAATTTCCCCATGGAATATTCCATCTCCTCTTCATCTTCAAGCTCTTCCATTTCTAGAGTACTATCTTTTCTCCCCATGGTACAAGATTCTTCTTGCGAACTGATCGATTTAATTATTCTATATATATATATCAAGGCAGAATATTTGCAGAAGAACCAAAACTAAGTTTAATTTGCAGGCTCTACTTAATTTCTCACCATACATCATATATCTGTATATATAGAGACACTGCTTTAATAAAATATTTAATTTGTCATGATGAGCACTGTGATCCATAACCACAAGAAAATACAGTTGAGATTTTCCTTTTTTTTTTTTTCTTTTTTCTTTTTTTTTTTCTTGGTTCTTGAAAGTTAATTATATGGTTGTGATCATCTTCATATGAAGTGGCAAAAAAGGCAAAGTAAAAATATGGTTATCTGTCAAAATTTGGGTGATCGATCGGAAGCCATGGCCTCGTGGGATTGTGATGTCTTGATGTCTCATTGCCATATATGCTACACATTCATCATCATCATTATTATTATTATTATTATTATTATTATTATTTTTTTTTTTTTTTTTTTTTTTTTTTTTGTTTTTTTTTTTTTTTGTCGTATCGGTGAAATACATCAGGTGATTTTTATATAATAGATATGTACACAATCACAAATACTCATGCGTATGTGTGAATAGTTGGTGGTTATTTAACCGCATCATCGGTTAAAATTCATCAAGTGTAAAATATGACATGGTATTTTGTTTGAATTTGCTGACATTAATCGGGCTTAGATGATTGCATGCGCATTTATGTAACTCATGTTCAGGCCCGTTGCGGAAGATTCGAAAGCCATTGGCGAGATTTGAAGAACAAGATATAACATGGCTCTCTTATGTAGTGGCAAATCCAAGATTTAACTCAAATGTCAAATTGTATATATATATATATATATATATATATATATATATATATATATATATATGATGCTGCTCCAAAAATGATGGGTCAGCCCAATGGTCTTCTAAGTCCGGGAATCTTCAAGCCCAATATCGGGAATGCCGAGAGTCCTTGCCACGCTTCCGAGGTAGTCGAAGGGATCGCTCCACTCGTTAACCTACAAAACAGTTGAAAACACTAGGTGACACGCCGGGGGTGGCCCGGCGATTGTCCTCCGACGCTCAAGTTAGAAAACTATCACAATATAAGCAAATTATATTAATTAATTGCCTACATTAATTAATTGCCTAAATAGTGCTTACCTTGTTATGTGTATGATAACACATATTTATAGGTGTAGTTTGATGTGGTTTTCTTGTTAAAAACCAATGTGGGACAAGTTGAATGTAATTAAGAGTGTTAATTGGATTTTTCCTCTAGATGGGCCAATTTGAGCATCTTGGGCCTAAATCCAATTATACACATCATTAAGCCCCCCACTCCCAGGTTGGGCCACGGCCTCGTGGACCTGCCTGGGAGTAAATAAGAAATGGTTGCTTGAATACGTATCTCCCCCTTTTTTCTGTTAGGAGAAAATATCGAAATTGCATTTTATCTTTTTCGGAAAAAATTGCCAATGGCTAATTTGTTTTGGAAAATGCTTCGAGACTTCGTGAATTGGGAGTCTGTTTTTCTTCAAGAACGAGAACTTAATTTATCTTCCTTAATAGGTGATATCCCTTGGCTTTATTGCCTAATCGGACTCGCGCATTTCCTAAAGAATGAGTTTTGCTTTATCTTTTCCGGTGAGACAGTATCCCTTGGCTATATTGCCTACTGAGAGGTTCGGCTCTCGTAAAGAATGAGCTTTACTTTATCTTTTTAGGTAAGACGGTATCCGTTGGCTTTAACGCCTAATGGGAAGTCCCTTTTTGAAAAGAATGAGTTATGCTTCATCTTTTTCGGTGAGACGGTATCCCTTTGGCTATATCGCCTAGTGGGAGGCTCGACTCTCGTAAAGAATAAGCTTTTACTCTATCTTTTTTGGTAGGACGGTATCCCTTGGCTTTAACGCCTAGTACGAAGTCCGTATTTTTGTAATCGGATTTGTACCAATGGGGATGAGAATATCGAGGACCGATATGTTGTGGGGTGCGTTTTGAGGCTTGAGTATGTTGCGAAATTCAATATTTGGTCTCGCGACTCGAAGTACTTAGAAGTTTTGTCGAAAAACTTATCGGGCTTCAATGTTAATGTGGCGTTTTGATAAATCCGTAGATTGTCTTAACACGTGAGAAATTCCACGATATTGGAAGTTACAAGTTGTAGTGTGAAAAATTTAGAATTTGTCGGTGCAAATTTTGCGAAATTCGGAGTTGTTTGGAGAAAGTTAGAAGCAAGAGAGTGTTGATGCTCGTTTTCCAAGAAAAGGAAAATACTGTGGGCGGTCGCAACTCGGAAATTGGACCGGTGCGATGTCATGCGGTAAGGAAAATTCGTGCGGCTGGGCAGCTGCAGCCGACCGAGTCAACTCGGTCGGCTCTGGGTCTCCTCGAGTCAACTCGGTCGGCTCTGGGTCCCCTCGGATGGGCCCGGTATCTCGTTCGAAAAAAGGTGGGCTGAGTGGGCCGTGACGTCAGCCAAGAAAAGTGTGATATCATCCGGTGCGGGGATCGAGGCGGAGCTGTTGAGTGTTAGGGTAGCGTGACATTAGCCATGTGCTTGGCCAAAAGGCTGCGTGACGTCAGCGAGAGAATTTGTGATGTCATGTGGCTCGAAATTCGAGGTACTGGTGACACCATCTTGCGGAAGATTGTGGAATGGTTGGTGCTGCCTACTGTCAAGTGCTAATTTTATATTTGTATATATATATATATATATATATATATATAGTGTTTTTTTTGTTTTTTCTTTTTTTTTTGTTTCTTGAGATAAAGCTTCGACACTTTGTGAATCGTGAGTCCGTTTCTCACCAAGAACGAGGACTTATTTTAGTTTTCTTAGCGGGTGATATCGCTTGACTTTATTGCCAGTGGAAAGCGCGCATTTTGTAAAGAATGAGTTATGCTTCATCTTTTTCGGTGAGACGCTATCCCATGGCTATATCGCCTAGTGGGAAGCTCGGTTCCCGCAAAGGATAAAAGCTTTTACTTTATCTTTTTAGCGAAGACGGTATCCCTTGGCTTAAACGCCTAGTGGGAAGTCCGTATTTTTGTGAAGAATGAGCTATGCTTTATCTTTCTAGGTGAAACGGTACCCCTTGGCTTTATTGCCTAGTGGGGAGTCCGTATTTATGTACTTGGCGGTTGATCAGACCCTCAAGTTTTTTATGTGGGAAGTCCGTTTGCCTAAGTGTTTTATACGAACTTTTATGGCAGATCAGACTTCCTTGAGCTTTAGTTGCTCTATTTTTTGGAGCTCTGGGAGCGAGAAACCAAGGTTCGAGTTGGCCAGACCCTTTGTGATCCTTGATATCTTCCCATTTAGCTACTTTTTGAATCTGTTGAATTTTTGTTAAATCGATTGTCAATGCTCTGCGTGCAGAAGACAAAGGGTTGATGTAGAAATTACGGCGGCGGTATCCCACCGGCTAAAATAGTTTATTAATAATCTTGCGGCTGGTAGTGTGCCGCCGATTTATTGCATAATTGAAAATATTGAGCGGTGCGGTATGCTAGCGACTTATTACCTGATTGGAAATATTGCGCGGGGCGATTTGCCCCCGAATTATTGATGAAAAGAAATTACATGGAGCCCGCGTGGGGCAATAATAAACATTAACTAAAGTATTTCTTCAGGATTGCGATTGTTCTAGGAATTCGCTCTAGTGCCCATCTTGGAGAAGTCTTTCGAGTGATTGCTTAAGCTGAAAGCACTCCTCAGTAGTGTGACCCCGATATCTGTGGTATTCACAGTAGTTATCCGACTTTTGTCGTTCTGGATTCTCATTCATCATTTTCGGTGGTTGAAGAATACCCTTCTGCTCAGCGATGATCATCATGTCAAGAAGTTTATCCTTAAGATGAGAACTTCCCGAAGGTGCGATTTTCGATGGGATGTCTCTCTTCTTCTCTATTATAGTTGTGGCTTTCCACGTCGCGCTTTCGTTTAAGGGGTACTCTCATCTCCGTGATCTCCTCAATCCGTATGTACTTCCCAGCGCGGTTCAAGAGCTCCTCCAGGGTCTTAGGGGGTCGGCCCGCGATGGACTCTCGAAAACGAACATGCTTCAAATTTTGTTGTAGTATGCCGGCTAACATCTCGTGAGTAACGTGGCGCACTTCATGTACTGCTTTGACAAATCGTTGTATGTAATCTCTGAGTGGCTCTCCGTCTCGTTGTATGACCTTGAAGAGATACGATCCAGTTTTGGCATATTTCTTATTCATTGAGTCGTGGTTAAGGAAATGTGTCGCTAGTTGGTCCAGATTGTCTAAGGACTCTCCGGGCAAGCCGTTGAACCAAACTTGTGCCTGATCAGTCAGCGTAGTCTGAAAAATCTTGCAGTAAGCTGCGTTACTGAGGCCGTAGAGGTCAAGCTTGGCGTAAAAGTTATTTAACTGTTCTTGGGGATCTCCGGTCCCGTTAAATTGGGGTAGATTGGGGATCCTAAATCCGAGAGGTAAGACTTCTTCCATAATGGCAGGAACAAATGGGCTTATTCGAGCGGGGAATGTTTCAAAGCGAGCGGTCGTTGGCCTCGAAGCTTTTCGTCCAGGTCTCATTGAGTTACGGTCATCAATGCCCTCACGGCTCATTTTCTTTTCAGATTGGGAATATCTACTTCCAAATTTATTTCCAATAGAGTCTCTATGGCGAAAGGAGCGCTCGTTATTCCTGTCATATCGTGATTCGTGGCGTGCCACACCCGGCCGAGAAGAAACACTTCTCTCTCCACGGCTATGCGCCGCTCTCTCCCTTGGAGGAGCCCTCTGCCTCACGGGGCGTGGTGACCGGCGGCGAGCTTCTCTTCGAAGGGGGCGGTTCGATGATGGGTTGTGATGAGGCGATTGGTGGCGAGCGTATCTTCGAGGCTCACGATCTGAGGATGCGCTACACTGAGGCGAGTGGTGGTGAGCCTCTTCGAGGGGCTCGTTCGGAGAAATAACTTTGGCTGTCGAGCGATACTCTTTTAAGGTTTGTAATTCCTCTGCAGTCATCTAAATGACCGGCGCTGAAGATCCCGCAAGGTTGGCCGCTCCCGTCGTTCTCTTCCTTCGAGGCGGCTCTATGACTCCAGCGTTACCTTGAAGCGGTTGGTGGAGATCGCCTTGACCACATTCGTTGGCCGCTCCCGTAGTTCTTTTGGTTCGAGGCGGCTCTAAGACTCTACCGCTCTTCGAGGCGGCTCTGAGACTCCGTCGCTTCCTCGAGGCGGGCGGCTCTAAAACTCTTCCGCTCTTCGGGGCGGCTCTGAGACTCCGTCGCTTCCTCGAGGCGGCTCTAAGACTCCTCCGCTCTTCGAGGCGGCTCTGAGACTCCGTCGCTTCCTCGAGGCAGGCGGCTCTAAGACTCTTCCGCTCTTCGGG